AATGGGCTTTAGACACTGTTTGCATCCAGTGGTTTGATTTGTAATGCCGCTGATTTACAGTCTGCAGCGAGAGCAGCGGTGAGACTTTTTATGCCACTGGTCAGCACACTGCAGCTTATTGACTTCTGTGGTTCATGCATTGCATGTCTTCCAGGCTACTTTTAGATTTTATGTTTATGGGAAAATACTAATTATCCAGCATGGTCACGCAACATGTTGGGAGTTTTTTTATTTTTTTAGAAGTGAAGACCGGTTTTATGTACTTTATAGTGTACATAAACATGTTTTCTGATAAGCTAACTATATTCTATCATAGGAGAGATTTTATTCAGTTTATTGTGCATCCACATAAGCGGGTATCTTCTTTCTTGATTTATTGTTTTTGAAAAAACTTTAAGTTATTTACACCTATTGTTTGTCTCTTTCTGAACTTTTGCTGCAACAAGCATCTGGCACTACTACTTGAGCATGCATACAAGGGACATATTTGTTGACACAACTGCCATTTCCCTTTTTAAGCTTAGTGATTTTTCTTTTTTTTCAAAATCTGGGAGGGCTGCAAATGTAAAAAATGTTGTTTCCTTTTTAAATAAAGAAGAGGATAATGTAACGTATGATATGTATGCAGTTTATTTTTAAATCGTATATCTCGCTTTAATTAGTATTTTCCATATGATCTTTCCATACTTCATAGCTTGGTCTTTGTTTTGTTTTTTATTTTACTTTAAAGTGTAATTGTAATGTACACGTAGGGCTACTGTACAAGGCACTTACTAAACTTGAAATCACATAGAAATACTTTTACATTGTTCCTGCTTTTTTTCAATTCAGCTCAATTACTGCGTAAATTTATTCGGGGATAATCAAGGATTTTCCTGTCCTTTTAAAACGAATACTACACAGCTAATTTAATTCCCAGCCCTCAAAGTTGGAATACATTTACCTGGTTGCACAGTTTATTTTAATTCAGTTTTAAATGTGCTTTTTCTGTACGAACGTTTTCATGCCGTGCCTGGTGATTGATCCACGTAACTGGGCATAGCAGCTGAACTTTAACCCAGCCTACACAAGGCCGATTCATTTCAGATCGCTTATATAAATGAAAATAATTGTTTTTCTTTTGTAAATGGTGTCAAAGGAGGATCTAACTCAGTGCGCTATATACCTTCATAAAATAAACTATTTAAGTGTATCTTTTTCTTTTTAGTACAATTTTATTATAGTTTTTATATTTCTAAACATTTTATACAATTGTCACAATAAAATATTGATTCAATATACTTGCATATTGCTAGAAATGTTTAAAAAAAAAAAAGAAGACAAATCGTGTCCATTCGGTGACACGTTGCTCTGGCAAAAAGTGTCTCCTTGCTCGCGTTTAAATTACGACATATTTGCCCATTACTTTTAGTTTCAATTATTTTTCTTTATTTCATTTGTGTGACACACCATCAAAGCGTCTCTTGTTGCAGACTGCCAGTTAATTATAGTAAGATGCTTTCATGCAGCACCTCTACATCCACGTCATCTGTTTGTGAAGGTTGTCTATGCCTATTTAAAATGATCAAACGTTGGATTAGGGTTTTTTTAAATGATGTTTTGTATTGTTGTTGGTTTTTAGCCCTCTTGTTCTTGAGGCTTAAATCACTTTCCACGTGGTATTGTCCGCTTTTATTGTGAGTTTCATTAATAAAGTCTCTTCCTTTTTTTATGAAAATAAACTATATTTTGTGTTTCAAATTACACATGACCTAAAGTAGGTTAGAGCCTACGACAGCAGCAATATTAGGGCGTTAACTGATAGTTGAAAATCAATTTGGATTCATCTTTACCAGCTGACACTATCTGGGTGAAGGTTTAAACTTTATTACATTGAACATAATACGTCATATTTTCTTAACTCTTGACACATTAGCCTACTATCTCATTGTACTTATATTGACACAAAATGCATGTCCTTGATGTGACTCATATTTGTTGATGGTTATCCTGTTTTTTCAGTTTTTAATCTCTGATTTTCTAACAAACATGAGGTGTTTGTTGGTTATCATGCAAAATAGCTTTAACCAATAATCACACGTGATCAAGGATCTGGGGCCTATATTTCAGTCATTTTTAAACTCTGAAAATGAAATTAGTGCAACATAGGAGTGCTCTGTTATCCAATTTCTGCGAAGCCTTCATTATTTGTGTTGATACAGTAATGGAGAGGCATGCCATTCGGAAGTCCTTCAGAGCTCGTGTGCAGCTGTGCGTGGGTGTGTGTAAAAGAAAGGAACGTTTCCTTATACCTTACAAACTCAGCAAAATATTAAGAAACTTTGTACAATTTAACGTGACAATGATTTCGTATTCAAAGCTTGGTTTAGCTTTCAGCACCTTAACGTCTGTCCAACATTTGCAATAGTCTAAAACATTTTCAAAGAGAGTTGTGCTGATCTTCAAATTTGACAAGCTTTATCCAGTATTTAGCATGTGTTTTAAAACGTTCTTTTGCTACCTGGAATAATTATTTCGGACACAATTTAAAAAACATAATACAAAAAAGTTATTTGAGCGTAATTTAACCGATTTTCTCCACCTGCTTTTAAGACCATGCGCATTAATGCTAAATATTTATCATGTCTACCCAAGAAGTATTAGTATTGACAGTTTGCTAAAGGACAAATATCCGACTCATGCTGTATCTGTATCACACCGGAGGATGGGGACAATTGGCTGTGCGAGTGCGTGATGAGATAACAGCCAGAAATACAAATGAGACTTTTATGCGCACACTACAAAAAATGTCAATTTCAGCAAGTCGTATGTTGTTACACTGCTTTTGACTTTTTCTTTAGTAAAATATGCTTGTTATAGTCTTTTGTTTGCAATAAATGGAAAACCTCACCCTAAGCATATTAAAAATCCATCCACTAAAATGACTCAAGAACAGCAGTGATCAAAACGAAATGTAGGAAGGTAAAGTCTGATACCCTTTTCTACTGAAGTCCTGTGCAACGGTCGGCGGTATGCAGACCAAACCTGTGTGAAGCCACAGGCCTAATCCCTGACAGGCCTTTCTGTGAACCTAAATATATCCAATTGCCTTCTATTTGCGTCTTTTTAGCCTAATACGTGCAATATGTGCTGTGCCTTGTCGTGTGCAGGGTAATTGCATAAGCTTCATTCATAAAATTCAGACACAAACTGATGGGGCAAGCGGTCCGTTAATTGTTAATGGCCCGGACACTCATATAACTGCAGGCTAAAACACAAATGGTCTGTCTATTAATATATTGTAATCATACCTTTCACTATCAGCATGTTGATCTGAAATGTCTGATGATGCATCTATTAAACTATGATGATGCATAATAAATTGATATCTGCCCTGAGGTTATGACTAAAGAAGAAGAGGTTGTGCGTAATGGCGCACGAAGGAGCAAATATCAAATGGAATCCTACCATCAGACAGGGATTATGGAAAGCTTCAGGAGAGAAACTGGGGTGATGGTCTGGAAGGAATTATTAGTTGGTGTATAAACCAATGCTTTTCCTGCACAGACGGCTCCATCACCCC